ATTTTTTTCAATGTTTATAACTCGAAAATTATTGTGTGCCTCGACATTTTGCCGAGAAAAAATCGTGTTTAAAGATCTCTATTATATCATTGTTTCCCATTGTAGTTGTCAGTTTTTGCATTAGAAAGTTTTTTTGAAAGCAATTCAATATTTCATTTAGATATCTTCATATTTTATCTCATACTATAGATTTGTGCAAAGTTTCGTGTAGTTAATGAATGGTTCTGTACCAGAAAATTGTTTCAATTTGGTACGTTCGTTTAATAATTTAAGTTTGTTCTTCCAATCCCATCGTGGTATCCATTAATAAAAGATTTAATTTGAGGTTCATTTTCAATATTTAAATAATGATACATAATTTATTTTGCACTGGAATCCAAGTAAAATTAGCTGAAGAAGGTGTTGGATTTCTGTAACAAATGTGTAATTGATTATTATTACGCGATCGTATGATTGTTATAATAAATATTCGTAAGAAATGTCAAGTCTATGATACCCGTTTTAGCAAAATCTGTCCACATCTGCGTTAAGTATTCCATTATTTTATAATCCGACGTATTATGTGCAAATGGTAACACTTCGATAAATTGTCCTATAAGAGGACAAAATAAATAACCCAGTTCCTCGAAGTGAGATGTACCTACAAAATATTGTTACGTAAATTATTCATAAAAGTTGATAACTTTATCAATATATTACAAGTGCAATCTAAAATTTATATTTAAATGCACTCTAAACTTTTTTTTATCAAATTTTTCTAAACCTGCGTGCGTCTTTTTACAATCATATATAGAAATTTAAAGACATTTATATTCACGTTTACTTCTTTTTAACTTTAATGTTAATTTGATTTTGACGTATGTAGTTCTACTTTAATTAGCAACGCAATACCTGAAAGCGGCTTTTTAAAAAAACATTTTCTTCACAGGAGAGGTTTCACTTTCGTACGAAAATTCGTACAAATAGGTCGACTGGTTAACATTAGAATTCATTTGAATATCAATTGCTTGTATAATGCCTCTATAGATATGTTGATCCCCAAAAAATCAGAAAGAGCCATTATAGTTTCTTCTGACACTGTTTTATTACCAAAATACAACGATCGTAATTCCGGTACCGTGATCCCTAGTTGCGGTAATTGACGTAGAATTTTCGGATGTATGGCTTTCTTAAAATCAGAATTAAATTTGTTTAAAGTATCGTTGTTTACCCCTGAAAATATTTGAATAATAATTTTAATTAAAATTTAATTTAATTTAATATAATTTAATTTATAATATAACTTAATGAAAAGCAAAAGCAAATATATATACTTACCGACCGACTTACGACCGACAATATCACTTATGAAAATATTGCCTTCTTGGCTATTATATCCAAATATGATTGGTATTTTAATACCATTACGTAATAATTTCAACGGATTTTCCGATAAAAAAGAATTCCATGACTCGTAATCCACGGTCGGCGTAAATGCGGGAAAAATATCTAAGTCATTCTGCAAAAACATAATATTCTTAATATAAAAAATAGTTTATGTTAATTCATCAAACATTTATTATTGCAATAATTGTAATAGAGCGTCAAAAGACCTCTGCTGCTATCAATATTCTTCCGTCTATGTCTTTCAGAAATTTCAGGGCTTCTTCCGGATTTGAAGTCGCATTACCAAGTTTCTGGGCTAACATCAGACCGTTATGGATAGCATCGTCAAGTTCAGTGAAAGCCCAAGGAACAGTTATGACGCCACTTTGACATATTGCCTTATGAAATAAACCTGTCAAGCACACATTCGCACATAATAGAATTGGCACTCGAAAAGTTTTATAAGATTATATCATAAGATCTAAGCTTCTTCTTCTTTGTCTTAATATAACACATAAAATTAATTAACGTGCTTTTAATTTTGAATTCTCAATATAGAATCGATGTGTTTTACTGAAGGATGTTATCACAGTTATCTTCCAAGTAATTATCTGCGACATTTTAAAATGTCGATATTATGTAGTTTGCAATCGAGATTTAAGTTAAAATGAAAGAAAACCTTATAATATAAAAGTTTTTGATATAGCAAAGCTATGAAAAATTTTTATTTGTTTGTATAAAATGTGTTCTTAAATATTCTTAATATATGTATATCAATATTATGTCTGTTCGATACCTTCAGCTAACGGTGAAATAGTCAGATAGTGAACCATTACTCCACCCGCATCTTGACCAAAAATTGTGACGTTATCGGGATCTCCACCGAATTGCAATATATTTTTTTTAACCCATTTTAACGCCATAACTACATCTTTTAAGCCCTGATTCCCGTCGCCATTTCCTCATCAAAATTAAGAAAACCTAAGAAGGGAATAAAGAAACATGTCGTTAATACGTTTAGTAAAGTTTATTATCAAGACTTACATATTCGCATTCTCTAGTCAGTAAAATAAGGATATTAAATAGTTGACCAAACTAGCACAAATTAAAATTAATAAGGTTTCACGACGTTTCGACCATGTGGTTGAATGATTTTTAACGTTATTCATTTCAAAAGTACCACAACCATATTTTCGAAACGTCGTAAAACTTACTAAATTCGATTTGTGCTAATTTGGTCGATTATTTAATATTCTTGTTCTACAAGAAATTTTACATCATGAAAAATATGTTAGTAAACGAAAATCCGCGGAGATGTTTTATATCAAAAAATTTGACAACACAATTAATTTACAAAGAGACACGGATAATCTTAATAATGTTTACAAGAAATTAATAAAGAACGTTTAGTTTGATAAGGAGCTTAAAACTGTTACGACAACACAGTTATTTCGTTTTCATACTATTATATCATGTTATATTCTCAGATCAAACTATTGTTTTCCAAAAAAGTTGTGATTTACTTTGTTTGAAGAACATAGGTACGTTTGCGTATTAACGTGTGAAATTTTTATATATTTTATAATTTCCTTTTAGTCATAATTGTTAATATTATGTTACAGCACTTGATAAGGGCTGAAACCCACGGTCGAAATGTTGTAAAATTTAATAAAATTCTTTTTTGCCAGAGTTGGTCGATTAAATCATTATCATTTTTAATTCCTATTTATTTATATAAGTTATATAAATATATTACAATTTCAAAGATTAAATAAATTGATTTCACAAGTTTTTTTAATTATTTATAATTCGACGATTATTTAAAAAAAAAACCAAATTTATGAAGAAAGTTATGAAACGTTAAAATTTTTAAAAATGTTATAAGTTATGAGAATTGGTTATTGCTTTAAAATTGGTATTTTAAAAAAACCATACATACACGTAAATTATTTGAATTGTGGGAAGCAGAATGCGTTCTATGTGTTTACTTAAAAAAAGTAGATCATCGAACGCAAATAACATAAAATGATTTCGAGCTAATTAATAATATACCTAGAACACCTAATCTGTAATTCAGGGTGACGAGTACCACATCCTTCCGCATGATATAATCAGGACCGTAATAAAGCGAAGTGCCGTCTCCCATAAGAAAGCCTCCACCATGTATCCACACCATTACAGCACTTTTCTTTGAAGACGTCACATTGTTGGTATACACGTTCAAATAAAGACAGTCTTCTTTTCCTATGACGATTAAGTTTATTCTGTCCATCTGAAGACAGATGTTTCCGTTATCCGAAGCGTTTCTATCACTGGACCATGGTTCTGGTGGTTGCGGATCCTACAATCAGTGTTTGTTATCTAAATAAAATGTTATAAATGATCAGCTAGATGAAATTTTGGCGACATCTTATCTTGATATAGATAATAAAAAATATGTATTATCTTTATCTGCATTTTAGATAAAGAAAAATGTTATCTTTACTAATATATTCAGATAATTTGGTTTAGAGTCATAGCATAAAAATAATTAATTGCTTAAACTTAAGCAATAAGCCGTAAAAATAATTTATTTTTTTATCCTATTTATAATTTACATTTTTGTTTATAACTGCGTCTATATAAGCGATCTTAAAAACAATATTATCTGGAAGTTATTTAGATAAATCGCCATGTGATTTTATGTTTTATTTAGATATAATAAAACAAAATTTTCTTAATTTTATCTAACAAAGAAAATGTCACAACTGTCCTCAACCGATTTGATTCTTCTTCAAATATGTTGGTAAATTTATAATCATAAATCAAAAAATTAGATTCTTAGATTTTAAAATTATTTATACATTATAAAATAGACAAATTATTTATTGTATATATTTAAAAGAGAAGAAGTGGGAGGGAGAAAGTGGAAAATGATGGTAGAGGAAGAGAGAGAGAGAGAGAGAGAGAGAGAGAGAGAGAGAGAGAGAGAGAGAGAGAGAGAGAGAGAGAGAGAGAGAGAGAGAGAGAGAGAGAGAGAGAGAGTGAGGGAGAGAGGGAGAAGTATCTATACCGTTTTCTTCGACTAATTATTTACGTAATGTAACATTTCTACCATTCTCAATTGCAACATTTTATTCTTATTAGTTTGAGACACCGTGTAGCCGTCGAGAAAGAAAATTTTCGTTCTTAGAATACCCGATAAAGAAAATTGACGTCGTTTGAACTTTTCGACACTCTTTAGAGTCGTTAGTCGAATGCTGCGTTATGCTATTAAGAATTAAAATTTAATCTATATTTACAGAATAAATTATATATCACAAATTCGACAAAAACTGAAAAAAGGCAAATTAAAGTAGTTTTGAATTTGATTTTATTTTAATTATCTGTAATCGAGATTGTTTTGCAATCGCAAACTAAACTTTATTGTGAAATGTCTGATTTTTATACAGTTATGTATAATAACACTTGAATAAATATGATTAAGCTGAATATATATTATGTAAGAAAATCTTTATAATTGTTTGGATGCTTAAATGCAGAGCACTACAAATTTTTTTTAATTTTTGTGAGGGAATTACTGCAATTTTTTCTGTTGTTGTCATTTAACTAATATTAAAAATTTATATTTGGAGAAATAAAATTAATTCGAAGAAAAATAAAACTAACCTGAGGAATAATATTATATTAATATTAAAAAAAATAATACTAATCTTATCAATAATAATATTAATATTAGGAATAATAAAACTAATATTAAGAAAAACAAAAATAGTATTATGAAAAATTAAACTAATATTAGAAAGAATAATATAAATATTACAAAAAAGTATTTTCTGTAAGTCCTAAAGTATTAAAAGTTAATATAAAATTGAGAAATGTGGCGCGCGCTTGTAACGCGCTTTTGTTAGTTTAGTATTTAAAAAATTAATGAAGTAATGAATTATCGATTCATTTTTTTTGTCTACATCTATTCGATATTGCATGAGGTCACGAGTGGATATTATTTTCCTAATTTTTTAAAAGTTTCTAAAAGTTATTATTTTATAAGAGTGCGTGTTTTTCTATAAAAATAAAATTTAAACGAAGTTACTATATTTTCACATTTCTATATTTTTCCACTTTCGAAAAGTAGGGAAGAGACTGGGACTGAACGTTACAGGGTTTAAATGTTACTCTTATAAAAAAATAGGTAAATAAACCGTCTAAAAAAACGCTAGAAAGCGTTAAATGTTGGCAATATCGACTACTGCGTATTATATATTAAACGCGTTATCGACATCACCTAACGCTTACATATATATGGTAGTGAAAAATAGCAGGTTTGTAACTTTTTATTTTATTTGTAATTTTGGTCTTATTTTGTTTATATTGATATTTTAGAAATGGTTTTGCATTGTATGTGTATTTTATACAATTAAGATTGAAGAAAATTCAGAGTTATAACGCAAAAATTCTCTCAAACTTTTTGATTACGTCTTAAATGTTCAATTTTGATTACAGTGTTAAAAGTTACAAAAAAGTATTTTCTTTGCAGAAATTGTGATTCCGATAATGATTCTAATTAATATCTACTTGTGAATAATATATATCAAATCGATTCATTTTGTTTATAGAGCTTAATTACAATGTTCAATGAAACATTTGTAAACATGTTAAGTTTTTATAATTAGTATAAGAAGAAGTAAAACAATTTTTTTTTGACAAGTTATTTTTGTATTTTGTTTGAGAAGTGTAATGTTATTAAATTTGTTTATATCAATTAAAAATGAAAGGCTGCTTATATGATATAAGTACGTTAATTGACATTATTATTGTTTAAGTAAAATAAATCATTCAAATAATGAAACGGTTGCTGTCACTTTTTACCCTGTATGGTGTCACAACTAACCCCATGGCCGGTGTGAAAGTTACACTGCCAAATTTACACTGGCATAAAATTATTTAATATTTCTTAGTTTCACGAAACTTATTTTTGCATTCTTTATCGCATTTTGAAGTTAAATAATACTACACCTCATAACCGTAACATAAAAAAATACATGTTGTTTAGATAAAATGTAGTATCAAATTTCTCACAAATGCCATAACCAACCCTAGTCTTCTCTACCTGTCGCGATGATGCATAGAACGCCGCACATGGCAAGAAACTTTGGAATATACGAACAACAGCTATGAAAACTTTGGTTTGCATAAATTTATTGTATTGCGTATCTTGTACGCGCTCATTTCCTTAAAGCCACACATATATATATATATATATATATATATATGGTGGCTTTAAGGTAATGAGCGCGTACAAGATACGCACAATACTCTAAAGTGCAAACGTGCCGTGTGAAATTAAACGATCCGTTTTTAGTAAAATTAATCCCCTCGTGCATTGTTGTAACTAAAGCGTGTAAAAATACTTGAGCCATAGAACTTAAGCGATAAAGCAAATCGATCAATCACTAAAAGATTAATTAATTGCTTACAAAGTACCGGTAAATACCTATATATATATATATATATATATATATATATAGGTAAAAAAATTTAACCGGTAGAACTTTGTAAGCAATTAATTAATCTTTTCAAGAATGGCAGATTAGAACAGTGATTGATCGATTTGCTTTATCGCTTAAGTTCTATGGCTCAAGTATTTTACACGCTTTAGTTACAAGAACAATGCAACGAGGGGATTAATTTATACTAAAAACGGATCGTTTAATTTCACACGGCACGTTTGCACTTTAGAGTATTTATATAATTGTACATTGTAATTATAATGCATTTCTTATAAATTTTAAACGTAAAAAATTTTTCTCTTATTACATTAATGAGAAATTTTATAAATTTTTAACAATTTATGTATATACAAGATGTTCAGAAGGAATGGTCAGCATTCTAGAACTCGATTGTATAAATATTTTAAGCAAAACAGTTTAAATAAAAATGTGTCCTATTTTGAACTGTTATGAAGATATAATGTTCAAATTTAAGAACAAAGATACAATATTTGTTAATTTAATAAAATTAAATGCTATGAAAGAATTATATGAAATTATTGTAAACATTACCTTCAATAAGTCCTATGTTGATTTCAAATTTTTATTCTTGATGTAACTAAAATGGTTCATATTAATTCATGCCAAAATTATTATTAATTAATTGAAAAATGTTTATTAATTAAAATAATTATTCAAATGTATTGCAAGTTTAAAATTTTATAAAGATTCTAATAAGTTAATGAATGTAGTCATTCTTAAAACTAAACACTAGTAATATTTTTGTCCAAAAAAAATAAGACATGTTTATAATAATTTTTTTTGTCTAAAATAATATGTACAATTATGTCCTAAAATTCTGTAAAAGATCATTTCTCCTGTATAACTAGATTTTATTTCTAATTTTTGTAAATGTTTGTATCTTTTATCTATATATATAAGCATCATCTGTCTGTCTGTCTGTCATTACGCGAATTACTTCCGCATTTGTGGACCGATTTTCGTGAAACTGGTACCAAAATGTTGCAAATTTTTTGGGGGTGGCTGCTGTGGGGTTTTTTTTATTAATTTTTTTATTTTTATTTTTTTTTCAGAGGAGTGTATGTTTTTGCAAAAAAAATCTTTTTTTGCAATATTTCTGAACACATGGTATTAAAATGTTGCAAATTTTTGGAGATAGCGACGATGCGGTTTTTTCAAGTGTTACACTTTTACTCACGCACCCACCCACGCATTTACCCACACGCATGCGCATTTATGGACCAATTTTCACGAAATTAGTATCAAAATGTTGCATATTTTTCTGAGAAAACTGCTGTTTTATTTTTTTAAGTTTACGCCTCTACCCACGAACCCACCCATGTTGCAAATATTTCGGAGATGGCGACGATGTGGTTTTTTCAAGTGTTACATCTCCGCCCACGCATTCACTCACGCGCATGCGGATTTATTGACAAATTTTCACGAAATTGGTACAAAAATGTTGCAAATTTTTCTGAGAAAACTGTTGTGTGGTTTTTTTAAATTTTATTCTAATCACGCATCTACCCACGCATTCACACATTTATTCACAAAGTTTTTTGAAATTTGTACTAAAATTTTGTAAATTTGTCGGAGATGGTCAATATATGATTTTAAAAAATTTTTAACATTTTATTTACTCACCCACGCAACCACCCACGCATCAATAAATTTATAAACCGATTTTCTCGAAATTCGTACCAAAACTTCGAATATTTATCAGGGATCGATAATATGTGTTTTCTTTAATTTTTACCACTCTATCAAGAGACACGGTAGTGTCTCGCGACCAGTTAAGGGCGTAGCGGAGACACCGTGTATCTTAACGCGAGTCGGACATTTGAGTCTTTAT